CCCTCCCACACCCGCGGCGCGACCGCTTCTTAACCGGCCCTGCGGCCGGCGCGGGCCATCGCTCCGCGCTCCCCCGCCCCCCGCACCCGAACCCCTTTCTACTGCCAACACCTCACCTCGCCCCCGCCGCCATCTTCCTCCTGCCTCGGCAGCCCCGCCTCCGTTAGTACATGGACAATTCTGATTGGCCAGTGTGGAACTCTGACGCGGCCTCTGGGCCCGAGGATGTGGCCTACTCCGGCGCCGGGAAGGGAGGATGTGCGCCTGAGAACTAGGGAGCCGGAGACCCAGAGCGCCCCCTGGTCGCGTGGAGGGCAAGGAGCGGACGTCGACAACACTCGGAGCAGGACGCGAGCTAGGTGCTGGAATGGGCAATTTCAGGGACACCGCGTCCCTCAGGTCCTGGGAGTCTTACACTGGCTATCTCTTCCCACAGGCCCGCCAGAAACAGCTTCCAAGGAGTAAAAATGGCCCAAGGGGATTGGCTACTGTAAATGCCAAAAAAGAACCGAGAGGTAGAAATAGCCCTTAGGAAGTGTTGATGCTGGAGGTCAACCAGGGTCACCAAGAGGAAGTGTCTGCAGAGGTGGAAGTTGGCCCGCAGAGAGGTCTTGCTCCTGTGCTTTGGTCATACCTTATAGCTGAGGCTAATTCTTCCAAGAATGGCCATGAGGATATTTAGTAATGTTCCTGAAGCACAGTGCTTTCTGCCCGTGTCATTCCTCTCTAAATGGTATCCTTAAAGGCTGTTCATTGCTGTAGTACATAAAAGAGAGGCTCTGTCACCTGGCACTCCAGTCATTTCATTCTTTAATCGTCCATTCATTCATTCATGCATGTAACGGTTATTAATTAGCAGCACAATTGACCTCAGTCATCATTCCTATTTGAGGTAAACTGCCCATCCAGCGGTGTCATTCCTTTCACACAGCCAATCCGAACTACACAGTCTTCCTCCAGAACAGTTCTGTCATTCCCTGCAGCAGTTCTGTACCATTTTTGCCCCTTTTGCGCAAGCTCATCCTTTTTCCTAAATTCCATCTAGGTATTGCGCAAATCCCAACCTGTTTCTCAGGACCCATCCTACATGCTACCTCCTTAATTAAACTTCCCTTGATTTCCTAATACGAAGTTCTCTATCCCTTCTTGTAAATTGCATGGCTCCTCCTAAATTTCATGGCTTCTCATGTGTGGGTCTGTATAGATGATATTACATGTTATATATTATATAGTTATATATTTTATTATATATACATAACATATATATGAAACCAAACAGTTGCATTTTTGTGATACCTACCTTTGTTCTTTCAGGCCCCCTTTTCCCACTGGGAAACATCTGTTAACATCTTGGCTTCAGGCCTTAATGTTTCAATTGTTGTCACTTTTTCAACTAGTCTCTTTTTTTTTGTTTGTTTCTAAGACTCCCTTGACTTTATTTTCAAACTTGAATCTCATACTAAGCTCAACGTTTTCTTCCCTTTGGCAGCTTAGCCCGAGGAAGTAAGGGCCGGACAACAGGCACACCCTTCACGCACTTTGACCTCCTCCATCTCCTCTGCACCTGCTTCTCTGATGATGGGTGGAGAAGAGGGAGAGGGAAAGGCCATGACGAGGAAAACCTGTGGTCTTCTTTCTCATTGGCCATTGCTGTTGTTTATGTGACTCCAGGATGCTCTGCTAAGGAAGCTCCCCAGGCACCACTGTCCCCCTGAAATTTGGCTACATATTTCACAGGACATCCCCACCCCCAGCTGACACCCTGCCACATTTCTCTGATACACTTAGCTTTTTGTCCCACTGTTTGCCTCTTCTGACAAGATTAGAGCCATCAGTATCATCTCACCATGGCCAGCTCTTACGTGTGAAATCAAATGCAGGTTGCAATTTTTATATTTCTTTGAATGGAAAACTTAAGCAAAGGATCTCCATCTAATAGTCCCCCCCAACCCCAGTATGCAGATCCTGGCATCTCTCCCCAGTTGTTTGTTATCTCCTGGAGAAGCCAGAGGTAGGTTAGCAGGTCTCCTTGTTGTAGGAAAATTGGGCGAGAGAGGATGGTCATAGCCCAGATCTCAAGTGAGTCCCTGGGACACGCCCCTCAAAGTGAGGGTCCTTGGCTTCTGAAAAAGAATTCAAGAATGAGCCATAGTAAAGTGAAATCAAGTTTATTTAGAGAGATACACATTCCAAGCGGCCCAGGGCATGTGGTTGTGGTTAGTTTTTATGGGCTGGTTAATTTCATATACTAACAAATGGGAGGATTATTCCAATTATTTGGGGGAAGGGGTGGAATTTCTAGGAATTGTGCCATCGCTCACTTTTTGGCCTTTTATGGTCAGCCCCGGCACTGTCATGGTGCCAGTGGGTGTGCTATTTAGCATGCTAAAGGATGGTGTATAAAGAGGCTCAAGGTCTACTGGAGGTCAACTCTTCCTCCACCTTGAATCTAGTTGGTTCTAACCAGTTTTTGTTGTATCCTCAATGGCTATGTCATTCTTTTAAAGGTTCTACCCTGCCCTCTTCCCTCCAGTCTCATCCTGACGGAGGAATGTTCAGCCTCCTAAGAGGAAGTAGGAGGAGAAGGGACCCACTTCTTTTCTTTGGCACCTTTTAGTAGGCTAGGAATGAAGGTGCCCAGTGGTTGCTCCTATTTCTGGCTGTATCTCTGCACTTAGAAGGAATTAGATTCATTGCCTTTTGTTTTCAGACACAATTCTGGGACAATAAGAAAACTGCACTGCATGTCCTGTTATATGTATATACATTCAACCCAAAAAGTTTATGAACTGCTTTCTTTTCTAAATGATTTCTTATTTTGTCATTCCCTCCTCCTCCCACCAAAAAAAGGAGAAAATATGGCACTTTTAGGAACTTTAAGGGTTCAGAATACAAATTTTGGACTTTTTAAGTTTATCTAAACTCCTCAAATTCCACCATGGACAGAAAAATGCAAAAAGAGTTCCAAAACCTCAGAAAGATGTTAAGTCCCAAACATTATGGGAACAGTATTTGATTTGTTTTCAGTTTACAAAAATATTTAAAGTTTAACTCAACCCTCACAACCAAGCACATGACCTGGTAGAACCATCTCAATTTTACAGAAAACTGTTAGAGATTGACAATTAAGGATAATGTGTAAGAGACTGGGCTGTAAGGAAGACCTTTTTAGCCAGCTCGTCCTCTTACTGCCTTCCCTGTATCCTCATCTGTAGTGTGGCGATGGCCCCATGGAGGTGATGCTACTCCAGTCCTGGTTTGTTGTAAGGATTAGGGCAAGTGTTTGTGAAGTACTTAGCATAATGTCTGGTCAGTAGTGAGAGCTCAGTAATTTAATCTACTGCTGAAAAAAAAAAAAGGGAGATAAAATTTCAGTTTTCGTTTGTTTTTTTTAGGAAGGATATTATCATTTACTACATTTTTCTTTGTTGACAATTGTAACCTTGTGGTTGAACTAATACAAATAGGCCTTAAAATGGATAATTTTCTCCTTAACAAGTAAAAGCCTCTCTAAGTAGAAATACAGAGGCCTGGCCCAAGTTCAACTGCTGGATCTTGAAGCATAAAGAGTGACAATATTAAAAAAAAATTTTTGACTCAAAGGATAAACTTTGATTTATATCCAGCCACGTTCTAAGAAAAATAGATCAAATATAAGAATGTAAAATGAAGGTTATTTAAAATACAGTTTGGCAAATATGTGAGCCCCCAAAATGAGACCTTGAACTTTTAAAAAAATATTTGTAATGGTATCTTTGCAAATGAAAGTTTAAAATCTTCAAAAAAAAAAAAAAACCTGGAAACACAGCATGATGAACCTGTCAATAAGTTTCTTAAAATTAAACAAAGGAAAGAGAAAGACTATAATTATGGAAACAGGAAATCAAGAATTTCAAGAATTTCTGCTCATTCAAGAGAAAACTTTAATGTTGCCATATTGGTTGCATATCATTTATATACAAAAGAGAAAATGAGCTACACAGCTACTGAAAAGTTATTCTTCTAGCAGTTATGGCTCTAGTAGATAGGATTTATATGATAAATCATCTGAGAAATTAAAAACTAAATCTGTTCCACTGCAGAACATTTAGAAGAAATGCTGAATGTTCAGCTGCAACCTATTATGATCGTGCAAACCAACATGACATGGATTTTGCAAACTGTACAATGCTTCAATTTATGTGAGATATAAGAATGTGGCAAGGCAGTTTTACATAAGATTGGTTGTATTGTCTAAGTTTAATCCTGGAGCAGAGGGTGGACGTAGCTCAGTGGTAGAGTGTGTGCTTAGCATGCACAAGGTCCTGGGCTCAATTGCCAGTACTGCCATTAAAACAAACAAACAAACAAACAAACAAAGTAAACCTAACCTCCCCTCCCCAAAATAAAGCTGGAGTACATGTACAACTTGACTTTTTTAAAAAGAAGAATATTAAAATTAAATTAAATTAAATTAATCCTATATACAACTAGATTAAATGTATGTATTTAGTTTGAAAAAAAAAGGTGCCCTTTAAGTGTATATTAAACTGAAAAAGATCTAAGGAAATTACAGGTGATGGAGAAGCAAGTATGGCTGGGAAATGTGGTGGAGTTTGTTTGTTTGTCTGTTTTAACTTTTATGGGAACAATTTGAAATACATTCAAGTGTGATGAACTTCCATGTGTCATTACCCAACTTAGATAGTTACTGATTCATGGACAAACCTATATTCCCATTCACTTCCCCCCAAATATAGAGCTAAATCCTTCATAATATCTTTAAATAAATCTTCTGTATAAAATTTCATCCTACCTCAAATATAAGAACTCTTTTTAAATGTATAACCGCAATACATTATCATACCTGAAAAGTTGACATTTCCTGTAT